AGCTGCTGCTGCTAGCTGCTGCTGCTGCTGCTGCTGCTGCTGCTGCTGCTGCTGCTGCTGCTGCTGCTGCTGCTGCTGCTGCTGCTGCTGCTGCTGCTAGCTGCTGCTGCTGCTGCGACGGCTACCGCTGCTGCTGCTGCTGCCGAAGACTGCTACTGCTATTGCGAGCTTTCATTGCTATTGCTACTACTTGTTACTACTACTACTACTACTACTACTACTCCTGCTACTACTACTACTACTACTACTACTACTACTACGACCACTAGTACTACTACGACGACTACGACTACTACTTCTGCTACAACAACAACAACTACTACTACTACTACTACTACTACTGCGGAAGTTACAGCACCCGCATCCGTGGCTGCAGGGTTTGAGGCTTGTAAGAAATATTTCAAGCTCAAGTTCCCAGGAGTGACGTGATTTCGTCCAAGTTGTTGGCCCCCCGTCCCTCACTTGCAATGCTCTCCACATCATCCCACAGCCTTTCCAAAATAACGACCTCAAAGCTGCTGCAGTTTATTCGTCAACAACTCGGAGTACAGTTTCTGATCGTTTAGCAGGGCGGCAGTATCACGCACGACAGGTCCGTTTCAGAGCTTGAAACGAATACGACGCCCGAAAGCCCGCAGGTGCACTGGAATACTTCTCCAAGGGCGTCCACATTGGCAAGGCTTCTTGGGATCAGACGAACTGAGTGGAGGGGCTGCGGATCAGAGCCAAGCGCTTTCTCGTCGATGCTCGTGTCATCATGAAGTTGCGACAACCATGCCGGAAATTTTGCGCGGCATTACCGGCAACGAAAGAGGCCTTAAGAATCGGTGAAAAGGATCGGAGGAGGAGTGAACAGAGGAAGCGCTGCTCCTACGACGTTGCATATGGGATCCTTGCGCGCACTTCATAGTAAAGAAGCTGACAGAATGTTTGCAGGATGCAGGTTTCGTTCAGATATCGAAGCGAGGCACGCCCAAACTTGCGCGTGCGTGAAGCTTTTGTGTTATCTGTGTTGACGTTTGAATCAGCTAGAGTATGGGGAGAAAGTAAGCACCACACGAGCGCTAGGCTTTGCATTTGCGAGCACCAAGGTGCTCGTTGCGGTGCAAAATTGTGAAGTTCTACCAGCGCGCCCGCAGAAGGTGGCAGGGCCCAAGCACGCTGCTCGGACTGAGTTTCAAGGCTTCACCCGACCACGGAAGTTGCAACCGTGCTTGGTGCCCTGACGCATCGAAGCGTGCTCACACTTCTTGTAACTTCTTGTATTGGCACTTACTGACGTGATTGGTCGAGGGTAAATGTTGCGGATTTGCTTCAACGTCGGCACCTGAGGACGTGGTGTCCGGATGCCTGCAAGCAGTGCTCTCCGCTTCAGAAGGTCCGGGTGCCTGCACATCGCCGACGCAACTGAGCACGGCACGGCATCTGAGCTTCTCGGCAGGCTCCGGCGGCGTGCTCTGTGCCCCGACGCTTGCCGACCTGGCGGAGCCGTCCTTGCACTCTGTGCAGTTGGACTCCTGTCAGCATTGGCATATCGGTCAGAAAGGATCAGGAACCAGTATTCAATTCAAGGAGGAGTAGCAGCTGGATACCTGCTGAAATATAATTAATGACACCGTTTTGCTCGTACTGAACTGCTGGCAGCCGCGATGAGAATGTGACATGAAGGCTTTGCTGTTTGGTTTAATTTGATTTCCCCGAGTCAGTCGTCAGCCACACGAAATTGGTGCAGTCCGCGCATGTGTGGAGGCGCATGCAACACAGAGATAGAATTTGAGCTGGAAGTCCGGTAGTAGCATCAGCAGGATTATCCCATCTTAAGCTATCTTAGAGCACCCGACTTTTGAATGCAAGCATGCTTCAAAGTCAGAGCGGTGCTGCAGCGGACACCGTGCCATCGAAGCGTAAGTGTGCGTCTTTGGAGGATTAGCTCCCGCATCGAGGCTATGCACATTGTCATCGCATGATGTGTCGCACGCGTTGTGAATCTGAGGTCCTTACGGCGTCGCCAGCTGTAGCATCGGCAGTGCAGGTACTCAACTCGCAGGCCTGGTCTTGAAATTTGTGCTGTTCAGATGAGTTTTGGCGGTGCATGTCAAGACGAAATCTCAAAATTGACATCGCAGGAAACCTTGTCAATGATCCGAGCTGCGACAGACTCCGATTTCGTTTTCGCACACCCGCAGCTGAGAGCCTCGCGGTGCTTCGGAGGCAACCTGCGTAACTTTGCCCGTTTGGGAACCAGTGCTGGACCTTGACGAGTGGCTCAGCCTTGGAGGTCCGAGATTTGGAAAGTGACGGGGATGGGACCGATGGGTTTCGGAACTGTTGCCGGGTGTTGATTGAGATCTTGGCTTGTCTGTGGAATGTGTTCTCATGCGAGGCCAGATCTTGGCCACGGAAGAAGAGGTGGAAGGCGATCTGCGTCCGACGCCTTAGGTAGCCGTTGGGATGCCGTCGAACTTTTCTTCTAGCTGTCATGCGTATCATGCAGTGCCATCCTGAGATAACTTCGCAGTGGGGTCGCTTGGCGAAGAGCCAGCAGCACCAATACAGGAACGGCGAGACTCTGCAGAATCAACAACCCTGCCGACAACGGCCGAGGTCAGTGGCTCTTCCAAACCGTGGAAGAGATGTCCGGACCGATTCAGTTGGACATGACCTTCGATGATGCAGGCAAGTGCGGCTACCGGTGGATGGAACTAAGACGTCGAGATGAGCTTGTGATTTTGCATGAACTTGAAAACTGCCTCAAAGTTACGTGTTCAGCCTTCGACGAAAGCATATATGATCTCGGTTCTTGGTACACCGATCTTTGACTCCAACATTAAAACACACAGCTGTCACGAGGATCGCGTTCCTACCGGCCCGGTTCCTGTGACAGTTGACCGAAGAAGGGAACATGATGATGAGCAGGAGGAGGAGGATGATGATCAGGGTCATGATCATGACACCAACCTCCGCCCCAAAGCAGATACATGCCCCGAACTAAACCACACCGCAGCCCGAGCAAACCCAAACCCCGAACCATTGATGATGATCATCATGATGATGATTATGACGATGATGATGATGATGCTGATGGAAGCCCCGCGGCTCACAGCAAGCGAGCCCTACCTGTGGTTTCTGTCTTTTGTTGTTCGGGGTCCTTGGGTTTGCTTCGGCGAAGTCTATGGACGATGCCATGGACGACATGCTGCAAGCTGAGCTCGATGCGGAGGCCAACATGGAGCGTACGCCTTGGAATGCGGCTGACGGCCCTGCTCCTGCACATCTTCTTGAGCCCAAGGGTCCTCCTCCACCGGTCCCAGTGGGAGGCCCGCCTGGATCGAGCTCGACTCGACGGCGGGAAGACGATGGACTCACACCAGCCGTTGCCTCTGACAGTGACTCCCACCCTAGCCAACGCTGGCCTGTACTTAGTGAACGAGATGAACACGGCGACATGGTCACAGCACGTGTGCAGGGTCCACACTTGCCCAGCGGACGCTTTGAAGACAGCTCCTCGGCCTCTTCCGGTGGCTCCGACCTACGGGCTTCTGGCAGCGAAGGAGATGAGGGCGATGATGCCTCGGACGACGGAGCAGCTCGCTCTGACACGTCCTGGACCTGGAGCGACACGACCCTCATCCTTGAGGGCTCTGACCTTCGGGACGCTGGAGAATATCTCATCGGCCAGTACCGCCTCGAGCTTCGGGACGTCCATGCCCACATGGCCAACCGAGTGGTGGGTGGCAAAGTGGCTGCCCTACGTCGACAGCTTTCTCGGCTGGCCTGGGTTGGTGTCCGGGACATGGCTCGCCACAAGCTCACGGGAGACAGGCTGGCCAGGTGGGTGGACTACGAGCACGATGCCACCCACAATCGGGTACCACGTCGCCTTCGACGTGCCGCCCGAGATGATGATGTATGAGAGCTGGCTTCTCCGCTCAGTTTGTCGGCTGCACGGTCGCCCCAGGAGCTACTGTGCCCACTCCTTCCAGACCCTTAAATCTCTGCACCCCTACGCTCCAACCCGACCCCTAACTCGTCAACGAAGACGGCGTCTCCGCAGGATGCGCGCAGCATCTGCACTCACAGCCTCGCAGGCGCATCTGCCGCCAGGCCCGTCGGAGACGAAGCATCCCACACGTAGGCCCCCCCCAGCCACGGGGGGTAGGAAGCTTAGTACCCTTAAGTACCCTACCTTGCAAAGCCGAGCCGGTCCCAAATCCGGCATCTACCTGCATACCGCGCTGCTTATGCTTCTGCATGCACAGGTAGACGGGGCGAGGGTTGCACCTGGTTCCGCGTCAGGTGCTCTACCTGTTCCACTGCCGCCACGTGAAGGTATCCGAACAGGGAAGACTCGCGGAGAGGCGCCTTCACGAGCAGCTTCAGGGGGTTACCCCAAACATGTTAAGAGGGCCTTTAAAAGGGCATGTGGTAGGGCAGCCAGATCAGTCTGTGGCGGGACATGGTATAGAGGGCGCTGGCATGATAGTCAAACCCTGCAGGCCCTGACCATGCAACCCGAGCACCTCACCACCCGTTGTAAGCGTAGGCGCCATCCGGAACACAGTGTCAGCGCTACAGATCTCCATGTGCTCTCGTGGAACACCAGTGGACTCGGTGGGGGGCTATTTCAGGAATTTCAAGCTTGGCTCGAAACGGCCGATCACCCAGCGTATAAGCTGGTTATCCTGCAGGAAACACACTGGCACCAAACCCCGGATTTCTGCAGTGGACCATGGCAGTGTGTGCATTCCTCCGGTCACAGTGCGGAAGCCAAGCCCGACAGGTCAAGTGGTCTTCTGGTCATGCTGCACCGGGCTGCCTTCCACGAGGTGGCCGCCGAAGAGCTGCACCCCGGTAGATTGCTTCTAGTCAGGGCAGTCTATAGGCCTACTGCGCTCCCGGTCACCGTTCTTGCCATTTATCAACACGTGTGGCGTACACATCTGACAACTGCAGAAAACCTTCGGCTGCGGGAGGACATTCTTCAATCTATCCGGGAAGTTCTGAGACGCACGCCAACTAGGCATCATGTTATCCTTGCCGGGGATTTTAATGGTTGTCTTAGTCCGGAACCTTCCGCTGTGGGGCATGCAGCCCCTTGTGCCCAGCATGACAATCATTGCAGCACTCTGCAGGCGCTGCTGGTTGAATTTGGGTTAACGGCGCTCAACACTTGGCATGCCAAGCCTTGGGCTACTTACCACTGCAATGGCAGTGAGAGCCAGATAGATTACGTCATAACCCGAGCCTCAGATTCCAGAGGGGCTGCAAAATATTCCAAGCCTCTTACGCTTTTTCCTGTAGCGGGCTGGCGGCAGGCGGGGCACTGGCCAGTGCACGCCACCGCGGGCCTACGGCCTTACCGGTCGTGTGCACCCAAGCTTCCGACAAAGACTGCAGCCTGCAACGTGCAGGCACTTCAGCAAGCTGTAGCATCGCAGTCGCCTGCTGCCCAGGCTCTTCAGCGGGATGTCGCTGAGCAACTGGCTCGCTGCACCGTGCACGACCCTGCCGTGGCACAGCTTCAGGTCAATCAAGTCCTGCTCCAGGCTGCATGCGAGCACTTCCCGATACAGCCCAGGGAGGACCACCGTGTCACTGCCCAGCCTGAGTACCGTGCCAGTGCCAAGCACACCTGGCGTTTGTATGCGCACATGAAGGCACACGCCCATCCAACATTGCCCGTCATTTGGATGAAGTGGCGAGCAGCCATCCGCTTCAGGCAGGCTTCGCTAGCCCTGCGAGCCCAAAGCCGACAGCTCAAGAAGCAGTTTCTTCTGACACAGGTGGAACAAGCGGCCGCGGCTGCAGCCCGAGGCGATCAGAGGTCACTCTATCAGGTTGTTCGGCGACTCACACCCCGCTCGCACCGAGGTATTTCCCGTATGCTTGGGCCGGACGGCAAGCTGCTCACGGCACCACAGGAACTCGAGGCCATCATCCGATATGGTAGACGAACTTTTGCTGCGTTGCCGGACCAGCTTCAGTTATGCAGTACGGCTCATAACCTGCTCATTTCAGACGAAGCCTTGGCCACCGAGCTTGCCCACCTCGGACTGCGCAAGGCTGTCCCAACCCATGTAGCACCGACTGCGGCATGGAAATTGTGCTGCACCTCCATCAGCCAGGTGCTTGGTCCCTCCCTGCGGCGACACTTCCAGGCCCCGGGACAGAGGCCACTTCAAGGGGACTGGAAGGATTGTTACATCACGTGGATCCCTAAACCCAATAAGAAGCCGCTCTCTGTCTCCGACCTCCGGCCGATAGGCCTTCAATGTCCGTCCAGCAAGGCCCTTGCTGGTGCTCTCAAAAGACATTTGCTGGCCGCCCTCGAACCGGCCCTAGCTCAGCTACCACAATTTGCATACACCAAGAATAGGGGCACTGCTGACGCGCTCCTTCGTGTGCATGCACACTTTGCAGAGGTTGCAGTTCTCCTTGAACAAAATGTTGTTAATCGCTTTCAACAACATCGGGGCAAACGAGCTGGCCGCTGCATTGGGGGCTGCAGCCTCTCATTAGACTTAACAAAAGCCTTCGATGGGGTTTGTCGGCCTTCAGTGTACGAGGCGCTCAGGGCACACGGGGTGGCAGCAGAGGTCATTAATGCAGTCCAGCAGCTACACCTCAGGGCGGAGTATCATTACTCTGTTGGGGCGCACAAGGGCGGTACCAGCACCACCAATGGGATCAAGCAGGGCTGCAAAATCGCTCCATACTTGTGGTGTTACTTCACGACGGCATTCCTTGAGCGTCTCATCACTGCGCGTGATCTGCGTTGGGTCCTTGCCACACTGACTCTTTTTGCAGACGATGTATGGGGCAACTGGGTCATCCCGCAGGTCTCGGACTTCACCCGTGCCATGCAGGACCTCGAACTCCTACTGACCACCTTGGAGGCTATGCATCTGCACATCAACTTCAAGAAGACAGCCATTCTGCTTACACTTGTTGGTCGGGATGCTGAACGCGTGATGTTGCAGCATACGTCCTATCAGGCGGGACAGCGGCACCTCCACCTGCAGGTCTCGGGCAGGCAATGTGTCATACCCATCCGGGAAGAACACGAGTACCTAGGCACTGTCGTTTCTTACACCGGCAGAGTAAGCGGCAATGTCAGGAAACGCCAGAAAGCGGCACAAGGCCGGCAGCAAGCCATTCGGCGCGCCCTCAACGGTCAGCACGCTCTCTCGGCCGCGCACAGGGTGAGCCTCTGGCGCTCCTGTGTCTACACCAGTGCCTTGTACTCTCTTCCCTTTGTGGGCTGCCACGAGCGCAGCTTGGAGGCTCTGGACCGTGCCCTGGTCAAGCACTTACGCGCCATACTCAGGATACCTGCTCACATCAGCCACATCACGAACACGGAGGTTTGGGCGCAAGCTCAGGTTGATCGGCCGCTTGTGGCGATTCTTCGACAGCTCAGAGCTCATGTTGACAAGCGTCGGGCACAGTACCAGACGGCCCCAGATATACCCACTGAGGCCAGAGCACTGAATTATGCCAGTGATCTGATCCGACTCTTTGAATCTCTCCTGAGGCGGGAGACTTGTGCCTCGCCTGGGTCCGGTAGCAGCATGATGGCCCCCTCCGCGCCCGTCCCCTGTCCTGTCTGTGATAAGAGCTTCACTACCCTTAATGCCATGCGTATTCACTGTAGGCTGCAGCATGGCTACCTGCCTGAACACCCTAGGATCCCTACCCGCTTCGATGCTGCCATGCGCTCTGTAGGTGGCCTTCCGGAATGCAAACTGTGTAGACGGCGCTTCTTTAGGTGGCAGCAGCTGCAGAAGCATATCGAGACAGGGGCCTGCTCGGCCTTGGGGGGCGATAGTCTAATCCGGCATCCCGTCCGGGAGGAAGAGCAGGAGCGTATGCAAAAGGACGCTGCGGCAAGTGCGGAGCCGCAAGCAAGCTCTGACACGGTTGCTACACCGGAGCATGATTTGCCCTTGGTGCAACGCCCCTCCTTCCTCAGGGCACAATCTCGCTGGGAATCGTGGGCACTCAACTCCACGGCTCGAGCCCAGCTGCAATCACATTGCGTACTGTGCAACATGTGGCAAGCTGACTCAAAGCACGTCAAGCAGCACTACCATCGCATACATGCACCCTCTCTTGGAGATCTCACTGATAGGGTAGCTGCTCTCTGCCTCACATTCAAAGCCCAGCTCTCTAGGGGACGCGCTTGTTTGTTTTGCCGCACCAGTGTCGGAGCGCCCAAGAGGCACTCCCAACAATGCACCGTACTCTTTCAGCTTTGTCTCGCCCATCTATATGTTCAGGATCACCTGGAGCTACATGACCGAGACAGTGACGGCGCCACCCACGGCGGAGAACCTCGAGGCGGACATCTTTCGTTACTGTTTTCCCAGCGGTGCCAATCCGACTCCGGCGGGAACGCAGCCGGCCCAGCTGACTCTCCCTCCCAAGGGAGGCCGAGCCAAGCGCCCGCGCCCAGAGCACCAGAGCCGCCGCCAGGGCTACCAGGACCAGACGGCCCGCTATACATATCAGCCGCCTCCCACCCTTCCCGAACATGTTCGTCTCCTCAGCAAGGTGGTGCTTCAACAGGCGGATGCCCTTCAGCTTCTGCAGCTGGACCGTGGGCTGATGATGTTCCTGAAGCAGGATGCTCGCAGCATCCTACCTGCTGTGCTGAGCCTGGCCAAGGAATGGCGGCAGAAAAAGGAGCAAAACGATCCGGCGCTCACTTCGCCCCTACGCACGCTTCTCCTTGCCAACCTGATCAAGGAGCTCCTTCAAAGATTACAGACTATTTCCGCAACCCCCGAAGGTCGCAAGTCGGTACAGACAGCGGGCTGGATGGACGACAGCGGAGACTGGTACTACATGAAATGGTGCCACACAACGAAGCAGTTGCTGACGGACAAATCCCGGCCAGCCCTACAACACACGGAGGCGGTCCGCCTACTCAACGTGCTGCACTCCAACATGAAAGGCGAGATCATACAGAACTTCCACAGCACCCAGACGATGCAGAGTCTGGAGGAGCAGGGGGCCACATCAGCAGCCTTCAAGCTGGAAGTAAGTCTACGAGGGCAGGAGGCACAGGAAGTGCACGAAGCCCTGATCCGATTCGTCAACAACTCCGCGACGGGTTTGATCGGCATGTCTCTCCGGAGAGAGCATCGGCAGCGAGGACCCATGGTGCAGCAGCTGGCCAAGACTTATGGCAGCTAGGGGGGTCCACAGCCTCTGACGCGAACCCGGTCCCTCGGGCCGGCGATGCGCTCATAGGGCCTATACACCTCAGCATCAGCCGCCTCTCTTTCGTCTGCTTAATCCAGGTAATCAGTGTTACTTGAATGCCGCAGTGTACAGCCTCTGGCTGGCCACACGTGATGCACCGGCCTCCGTGACCCTGCCTCAGGTGTTGAGGGTTAACAAGACTGGGTGCTTTCGGGTGCGCCAGCTTCTGGGGTTCCATCTTCTTGCCTGGCCACAGCCCGAGCGACAGCATGACATAGCTGAGCTTCTGGCGCATCTGTTGCCAAAACTGGCAGCACCACTGGCCACAGGCGGGGTTGAAGCCAGACGGCTGCTGTCAGTAGGCGTGCAGAGGACGCTTGACGCGCCAATCACTCAGTGTATTGTGCTTCCTGCTCCGCCGCGCCACACGGGTGACCTGCAGGATTTACTTCTTTTCTGGCATCGCCAAGACGCGATGCATGCACTCGACGCACTGTACCCATGGCTGTACCTTCAGCTGCCGAGGTTTGAGTGGGCGGGCCACCGAGCCCATAAAACAACCCAAGCCTATCACTTCGTTGACACGCTGCAGGTACCTGTGTATCAGAATGCACATGACCTCGCAGTGCGGTGGGTGCCTTACCGAACCTGCTGCTATGTGCAACATCATGGAGCTGCCCCAAACTCAGGCCATTACACAGTGATTCAGGCCAATCCGAACCAACCATGGCTGCTAGACGATGCAAAAGATCCGCGGCCCTTAAATGCACACATGTATGATCATGCTTGTCGCAACATGTATGTAGTGGTTCTCACTCTTGGTGGTGCCACAGCCCTCTACAGCTCTACCGAACCTTCATCTGCCTCCGTGGGACATGCCGACGCCCATCTATGTGCCGATCAACGATCTGCCCAGACAGGAAATGGACTGGCATGCAGCGCAGCTGTTCTTACTCGAGTACCAGTTGCGCCAGATCGCGGCGGACATGGCGAGTCTCAATCAGATCTACCAAGACCTGCAGCATCGTGTTCGAATGCTAGAGATGCGCACTGATCACTTCCTGTTTCCTCGACGTCATAACAAGTGTGCCGTGGAAAAGCAGATTGTTTGGTTTGATGAGCTTGATGAGTGACTGAGTTACTCGTCAAAGGCACTTCGGTGCAAGCTGCTCGATAACGAGCATTAGTGCTGCTTCCGAGAGAAGCCGTCCATGCAAAGCATGCGATGTAACGGTGCCCGCTAGACCGGACTTCCTGGCTGCGTGAGAAGAAGATGATGCTGATGGTGATGATCATGGTGATGGTGATGGTGATGATTCCAAACCGCCCTAGGGGAACCCAACGAAACACACCACACCACAAGTCGGGGAGCAACGCCAAGCAGACCCAAACTCCCGTCCCCTCCCCCCTCACAATGGTATTCTTCCCCTGTCGAACGGCTTGGACCTTGAGCTTGTGAGTGGAATGGCTCCTTCTTTAGATGTTCTGCGTGTGATCATCCCCTCTCTTCCGGGTCTCGAGCTTCGGAGTTTAGCCCCCCTCCACACACACGCTTTAGGCTCCAGGCCCTTGCGGGGGATACCATTGTTTGGGGGAAGGGGGAGCGCACGGCGCACAACCACACATGGACATTATATTACATGGTCAGTCTCCCTCCGCAGGGCCTTTCAAGCTGCAGGGTTTTCGTAACGCTGCTCCATGTTGCTGGTTTCTAAACATTGAAGCGAATGTGGTGTGCCTCAGTGATGTTTCAGCCTAGCTGCGCTGCTGTTTACGAGGCCTGGATTCGTTGAGCCTCATTTCCCTTGCGCGACGGCTGACCTCCAAGGTTAACAAGGCACCTCCGTCATTCTGAGTAATTGGCGATCCGTGATGCATGCGGGAGAAGTCTGAAGCATGACGATGCCAACGCATCGTCCGGCTACCAGTTTCGAAAATTTGCCCGCTTGCTATTGGACTTTTCTTCACAGCTGAGTGGGACCAGTGCTTGAAGCGTTAATCCCTAGCTGAAAGACCATCTGCGATGCCTGACCGCTTGAATCTCGTGACAGGAGTCGTCGCACACTGCTGTTTTCGGATGCCTCAACAATCCCACAGTCGGACTAGTTCGCACTTTCGGAGTCATCTCCTATTTGTCCACTGAGTCACTGCACGTGCGTTTTGTTCGTTCAGGTGGGTAGTTGATCTGTTCACTTGGGATCGGGAAATCAAGCAAGACAAGCCTGCCTCTTCCGGCAACGTAGCACGAGGCTTATTGTCATTGGAGTGCGGCTATCCTCTCAGACTTGCGCAGCAAATCTTGCAGGGATCTATCAACCTGGCTGTGACACCGAAGCAATTCTAAAATGGCTCCGATCCCTAATAGCCAAGGGCCACTTTGTCGTCGGATACGCACAGCACATCCCAGTCCTGTTTATTTCTCATCTCTTCCACAGGCCGTTTCCGTGGCCAACATATCCGACCACCCGACGCCACGCAACTTGCGCTGGAATCGCTTGTGTGGTGTACGGAACTAGTTGTAGTTTCTGGATGCTCTACACGTACTTTGCATGGTTGATACTGTTCACTGCTGTTCGCTTATGCTTGCTGCTGAAAAATCGAGCGACATCTCCAGAGGAAGTGGCGTAGATTCGCTCGTAGCGAGTCCCGAAAACGAAGTCTGAGCTTTGTCTCGCTGCCAACCGGTCTTTCCCTCTGAGGACGATTGCTGGAATTCCTCACCGGAAATCCTCAGCAACGGGCTTGCACTTCTCTTGGGTGACGTGTCGAGCATGTTCCCAGCCCATCCGAACCTTGTCCGGCCCAGCTGAGGCCAGAACTTGCACGGCCAAAGGTGCTGTGCTTGCAGCTTGAGCTGCATATTACGAGCAAAGCCAGGCATGGGGGACTTATGTGTTTTCCGAATACTTTCAGAACTTGGCGGTGTCCCACATCGCAGTGCCGAGGCATGGCTTCAGATCCAATGGGGATGCAATGGCGGCATCGATGGGTTTGCTGACGAGTGTCTCGGAGAGTCGAAAGTTTGGTGACCTATTCTCGTTCAGAAGCACCTCCCAAGGCGCAAGGGCCTCCAAGCCTGCATGGGAAGTGGTCAGAGTCAGACCGACAAAGCAGATTTGTGATATGTGTTCAACTTTCTTTTGCTGGGGTGGCGCAGCAAGCGGTCTTACAAGGTCGTGTTGGCTTCGTGGAGTGGCTCTTCATCAGCTCTCCGCGGGTGGCATCAGGGCCTTCGGCGCCGGATATCCCACAGGCCATTGGGACTCTCGCGGGGTTGTGTGAATCTGTTGAAAAAAGCTAGCGTCTAGCAGCTAGAGCGCCAAACCGGCAACTTCCGCTGTGTCATCATTCCCTCGCCAGGACGAGGCACGCGAGTGCCCAGTCAGCATTTGTACATGCACAAGAGCATCTTATCTTGCAAGAGCAGCTCGAATCGATAAACCTATCATCAATCATCTGTATTGTCGGTTCTCAATGATCCGCAGCCGCTCTTGCATGTTTCAATATGGCGAAAGATCTGTGAACATTCCAAGGTGGTGGGGGCAGCCAGGAGGTTCCTTCGAAACAGGCAGGAAGCAGACCTCTTCAGTTTTCGGGTTGGATCGTCGGAACCTTGCTTCGACCGGGATACATACCAAAGGCATGCAGGAATATATGATTATTTGAACGCTTCGCGTCGTCCGCCTCGGGCCGGCTGTACTTGCGGCAGGTGCAGTGTTTCGGAAAGCAACGGGGTAGGTCACACAGGTGAGGTCTTGCGTGAATGAGCGCATTTGCTTCGGAACTTGTTTTCATGTCAGTGTTTGTTTCCATTCTCGTATACAAGCTCTCATATGGGAGGTTGCCAAAAAGCGCGGTTGTAGAGTGGAATGTATGCTGGCATAGGCGTTTTTGGAGCACATCTTTTGCTCTTCGAAATGAGGTGGGGCCCAAGGTTGAACAAGTTAATCACCATGTTGGCGCTAGAACAACGAGATAGATCGTCATATTCAAAATAAAAAATATATATAGATAGATAGATAACTAAATAAGTATATATATATATATATGTACATACATACATATATATTCATATATATATATACTGTATATATATATATATATATATAATATACATACTACACGGCTTTGTGTAACATGTTGGAATGCTTTGTAATTTGGTAGATGCGACATTAAGAAGAAGATTTGGACATTGCAGCATGCAGTACAGAGTGGGCTCAAGTTGGCAGACCTGTCGTGTGCGCAATTGCGGAGCTGCCAAGGCAGCAACCTCTCATCCGCGGCATGGAGCTCCTGTCTGCTACTGCGTTCTTCGGTTGAAACATTGAGACATTATGGTTCGCTTTTATCAATGTCGATTATCAGTTTTAGCCACCCTTATCCCATCGATTGGTGTTGCAACCAAGACCGTGCTTGTCTAATTATGTTGGGGCGGCCACGTCCAAACCATCATGCTGCCATCTTGTCACTCGGATTCTTTGCGCCGTGATTCTGCTGGCATACACAAATTTAAAGCCATGCAGTCGTCAGAGTCATGCAGCCAAGTGATGTATCGAGCCGGTCGTGGAGCTTTGCGTCATGTCTTTCGAAGATGAAGTCCTGGAAGCCTGGGGATGCGAAGACATCTGAGGAACCCAGGTTTCTTTCACCACGTGAAGGGGTTGAGGGCAGAAACAGGTAGTTCTGTGGGTTGTGCGCCGCAAGAAGTATTGGTTTGAAGGTCCGCTTAGTAGGCTATGTTTATTTTCCGACCCCGAAAGCAGTAGCTGCAAACTAGATTCTGGACTGGAAGCCCGGCGACGTTCCATAACCACAGAGGCCTTCAAACCAGCTTTGGATTGCAAGCCCCTTGAGATGTGGCGCGTTTGATGTTTAAACTGTTTATACTTATGTTTTGCAGGTGGCATTTGGTGCTAGCCGGGCGCTAGTTCGGCGCTAGTGAAATATTCCCAATTTTGTCGCTTGCCACTAGTTGACCAATCCTGTGTCACAGAAGACTACAGCGAAACTGGGGAAACGTAACATTTGTACCGAAATTTCGGAGGTTAGTGGGCTAGTGTAATGAATGTTGTAAGGTCTACGAGAGCCCAGTCCAGAATCCAGTTTACGGGTCTGGCCTTCGGGGTCGGAAAGACAAATAGCCTACTATATAAGCGGATCTACAAGCCAATGCATGGTTTTAAACTTGTGTATGCCTGCAGAATCACGGCGCAAAGAATCCGAGTGACAAGATGGCAGCATGTTGGTTTGGACGTGGCCACACCAGCCGACGGGATAGGGGTGGCCACACAGATACACTCGACACTAGAGTCGAACCAGATCATATCAATGTTTAAAGCGAAGAACGCAATAGCAGACATGAGTTCAATGCCTCGGATGCCACGGTGCTGCCTTCATAACTCGGTGCATATTCCAACTCTCCTAAAAATCCTAATGCGTTCCCGTCTGGACCCTTCATCAACTCTGTACTGCAGAAGACTGCCGTATTAGTCTGCACTAGTGCACTTGTCCCATGCCTTATCAAGTTTCATATGTTGACAGTACGGTTGAGCCAACCAATACATTTCTCTTACAAACGAAGCGGGGCCCGAGTGTACATACCACACGACATGTTCAGACAAAGTCATCTAGACAGTAGCCCATATGTTGAAAGGGGAATCAAGCTTTGCAACGAAGTACAAGACGCAGCCCCAAAATTCCCAGGCGTTGGCATCAGCTCACGAATGATGTAAGCTAGCCCGTGTTGCCTTGCCGCAAGAAAAAATCGAGGGTGGGGAAAGGGGGAGAAGGCGTCAATGCGGGTGAGTGGGGATGTTCAAACGTGGGGGGGTGAAACTGTGAAACACTGAATGTTACACAGCCAGGTGCCTGTCTGTTTCACGTATCACTCGCATGTATCCATGCCTGTTGCTCAAGGTTCTAGCAGAGTACGATCTACAGCTGCGCCCTTCCTTAGGCTCCGGTTTTCAGGTATTATCTAGGTTAAGAATTACTAACTCAGGGCAAGAGACCCTTGCCAACGTTCCACTCAGGCAGCTTCTCAGGACGAGTGAGCAAAGCCGTGATCTCGAGCTGAGTGTCGGAGCTCAGGCCCAGGTCGTTAAGTTTCTGAATAAAGGCTGATTCCCGAGACTCATAGTGGGCCAGAATGTAGGGGACTGCTAAGAATTGGCTGAGAAAGGCGTCAGCTCAGGGAAGCCCTTCTCCTTAGATGTGGTAATTAATTACTCAGGCACACAAGAACTTGCCGACCTCACGGATGTGCCTCAGGTAATTCGTTAATTAATTACAGGAGGTTGTCGATCTCAGGCCGCCTCAGATTCTTGAGCACCCTGTTGTGCTCCTCAAGCTGCTCCTCAGTGGGGTTGCGACCCTCAGCGACCTTAGCTGGAAAGGCATAATTAAACAGCACGACTGAACCCGGAGACTCAGGAACCAAAGGACAACAACCTCAGTGCATCTCAGGTACTAAGAGGAGGCGGTAGTAGAATATCTCATTTCTCAGGGCGAGGAGTGCTGTTCTCACTAAGCAAGACTCAGAATGTGGGCTCATCTGCCCCTCGCTCTGAGGACCGAAGACCTGAGTCAGTTCAACAGGATACGACTAAAGACCGAGGAAGCACTTAGTTAGTTAATTACTGGCTGAGTGCAGGCAAGAATCCCTGAGGTGTGAGAGATTGCTGAGGCTGACCCGGTTTCTCAGGATTTTCTCTTTGAAGATCATGGAGCCCCCAGCTCCCTCATCAAACTCAGCGATGTCCTGGCGGGGGAGGAGCAGACTAAGGATTCATTACTTCAATTACTTAGACAAGGAGGGTCTCAGGGTCCTGACTCAGGTGCTTGAAGACGTCGAAGGGTTCTCCTCCCGCACGGTCGACCCCTTAGGTATTCTTAGGTCTCCAGACCTTCTGTCTCTGAGGCTGCACAACTCCTCAAGGGCCTTTTCGCAGGCCTCAAGCTTGGTGAGCTCCTTACTGACTTTTCCTCTGAGGTCATCGAACTTCGCGAAGATGTTGAGGCCCAACATGTAGAGGTTCACTGCACACAAAGGCACCCTCAACTCAAGCAAGCTTGCGTGAACTCAGCAAGGCAGGGCTGCACTCAGGACACAAAAACCACTGCACTCAGGCCACACAGGACTGCGCTCAGAAGTCTCCTCTCGTGCACTCAGAAGAACGGCTTTTTTGGACTCAGGGCTCAGGAAATGGTGTGTTCTGTGCTGAGGGAGCATCTCAGGCCCCTCCTCTTAACTCAGTCTCAGCCTAAGAATGAAACTTCAGGCTTCTTGAAAAGCCTCAGTGTGGCCTTATTAGCTTGCGCTTAGGGCGGCTGGCCAGGGCAAATGCTGCTTGAGGAGGTCTTTCTCAGCAGGACTGATTCTCCTCAAAAGCTTAGGGGGCTGCTGGCTAGAGAAACGAGCCTCAGGCACCCTTTCAAAGGCTGCGGCCTTCAGGTGGGCGAGCTCACCCCGAATGCTGGAGGTGCTGACCCTCAAGAAGACAAAGTTGAGTTGAGCTCTTTGAGGATGTCACTGAGCTCATCTCAGGTTCTCGACCCATTCATCAGGGCGAGCTCAGGATAAGCCTGAGTTGTCCTAGTGAAACGTTCCACCTGCGACTGATGGCTCAGGGCCTTCTGCTGGTACTGAGGCAGAGGCAGAATCCTTGGCATAGGCCACTAAGCGTCGGGGCTCCTCAGCTGCTCCCGGACTCAGAGGCCTAAACCCTCCTAATTAAAACTTCCAACTCATAATTAATTACTAAACTCAGAGAGGCCTGAGGGTGCTGTCCCTGATGATGCGCAGGCTCAGGACGAGGTGCCTCAGGACTAAACCCTTAACTATCACCCCGAAACCACCTTAAGCCCGCAGGAGGCTGGCAGGAGGAGCCGGCTGATGTGTAGCCTGAGGACGAGTTGGCCCAGGGCAGGCAATTATCCCCCAAAATCACCCTAACCCTTCCTAAAACCTCCAAATCACACCCTAAACCCTTAAGAGGCTTGAGCATACTGAGGAGCACGAGCCGGCTGATGCAGCCTGAGGACAAGGTGCCTCAGAGGAGGGCTCAGAGGCCTAAACCTTCAATTATCCCCCCGAAACCATCCTAAACCCTCCCTTAATTATCAACCACCCCAAACCCTCCCTAAAACCTCCAAATCACCCCTTAACCCTCCTAGAACATCGAAGCCTGAGCCCGAAGCTGAGGAGCTGGTTCGTCCTCGTCATGCCAAGGATGGTAGTCGTGGACTGAGGCTGCGGGAGCCTGTGCCAGGTCACCCTAAGCAATGAAACTTCTTTAGGGTGTAGGGTCTTAGGGTTTCATTACTTTAGTACACTGATTCTGTCCCTGAGAAATTAATTAAGCCCTTGGCGCCTGAGGCCCGAAAAAATCGGGGACAATCAGGTCCCACTCAGAGGATCCTGAGGCAGCTTGCTGAGGAGCTTGCCGAGGAGGAACTGGAAAGGTCGAATTCCTCGACTGAGGAGCTCCTGAGGCTTGTTGCTGAGGCCGAGGCCGCAAAGGCGGGAACTTCGAAGCCTGAGGCCGAGGTCCCTGAGGCCGAGGTCCC